TACTGTCTCCAAATACCAATTTCTAAATAAAATTTTAAAATAATAAGATCATCAAAATATCGAATTCCAGGAGGCATAAGAGGTACACGCTACCGGACCGGTAGATTTTGAGTGTAAAAACAATAAAAGTAACAAAAGTAACAATGTTTTTTTGTGCGGATTGGCGGCAATGCTCTACGAAGTGTGTGTGTGTGTGTGTGTGTTTATACCCTTCACCATAGTATGGAGGGTATATTAATTTTGTCATTCCGTTTGTAACACCTCGAAATATACATTTTAGACCCCACAAAGCATATATATTCTTGATCAGCATAAAATTCTATGTTGATTTAGCGATGTCCGTCTGTGAAATCCGTCTGTGGAAATCACTCCAGCTTCCGAACGAAATGAAGTAGGTTGATTAAATTTTACTCAAATATGTATTATGCCTGCAGAACTTTTGGTATTGAAAATGAGTCATGTAGATCTACGTTTTGGTATAGCCCCCATATAATGGTACTTTCCTTTTTATACCCTACACCACAAGGTGGTCAGGGTATTATGTCTTTGTGCATTTGTTTGTAACAGGCAGAAGGAAACGAGATAGACCCATAGTTCCTTTTTATGATCTGCATAGTATCACATTCTGAGTTGATTTATGCATGTCCGTCCGTCCGTCTGTCCGTCCGTCCGTCTGTCCATGTATTTTTGTAAACAAAGTACAGGTCGCATTTATTGCCCGATTCAGATGAAATTTTGCAAAGATCTTTTGTTTGGTCCAAGGACGAACCCTATTGAAATTGGAGATAATCGGTCAAAATTTAGATATAGCTCCCATATATATATTCGTCCGATTTGCCTTTTATTGTGCACCAAACGTGTAATATCAGACCAAATTGTATGGAATTTTGCATATACACCCAAATTAGACCTGAAAATAAGTATGCCAAATTTGATCGAAATCGGTTCAGATATAGCTATAGCTCCCATATATATTGTTCATCCGATTTGTTATTTTTGTCCACCGCCGCCGTAATATGCACTATGCAACAAAAATATTTGGGGAAATATATCAAATACAGCTCAGAAATACATTTGCTTAATTTTATCGAGATCGGTTCAGATTTGGATATAGCTCCCATATATAACTTCGTCCGATTTACCTTTTATTGTGCACCAAACGTCTAATATTTGTCCAAATGGGATGGAATTTGACACTTACGACCGAATTGAGTCTAAAAGCTTGTATGTGAAATATATATTATTCATCTGATTTGTTATATTTGTTACCCACAACCGTAATATGCACTCCGTAACAACGATATTCAGGGAAATATATCAAATACAGCTCAGAAATATCTTTGCCAAATTTTATCGAGATCGGTTCAGATTTGGATATAGCTCCCATATATATCTTTATCCGATTTCAAATTAATTGTGCACCAAATGGGCAATACAATTCCGAATTTAAAAGATACAAATGCTTCGGCATATTTAGTCCTTTGAACTTTAAATTATAATTATAATCATAGCGTGTATGATTGAATTCTCCCATAAAAACTTTTACTTGTTATGTGGAGCTCTACTTAATTAGCAAAATGGTGTAGGGTATCATAAAATCGGCCCCGCCCGACTTTAAGACCTTCTTTACTGGTTTTTGTATGTATTTCTGTTCTATTTGTATTTTGGTGATTTAAGCGACATTATCCACCGGAAATGTTTCAAATTTAGTATTTGAAGTTCGTAATAGATAATACAGCCTAGGGCAGAAAATTTTTTTGTGAAGCTCCACGCCTTCGTATAGCCCCCATATAACGGTACCTCCCGATATTCGGTGTTTTGGTGATTTAAGCGACATTATTCACCGGAATTGTTTCAAATTTGATATTTGCGCAGGTCCACGTCTTCGTATAGCCCCAATATAATATAGCTACATTATTCACCGATATTTTTCAAGTTGCGCACCCACGTCCCCACGTCGTCGTATAGACCCTAATTTAATGGCTACATTCGGTATTTTTAAGATAATATGGGATTTTTTAACGGATTTTATTGTTTCTTGAGGATTCCAAATTCGTACCAAATAGTGGAGGGCATTCAAAGTTCGGCCCGGCCGAACTTACAGCTTTTTTACTTGTTGCTTGTTTTTTCTGTTTTCTTTACATATTTTTCTCGAGTTCCGGCAAATTTAGCCCAATACAATACTGAAAATTAAAGTATGCCTGGTCTATTTTCTGCTCCCGGAGTACTTCTAACAACGAGATTTACTTTTTATTTGTGTTCGAACATCATTCTTATTATAACTTTAAAATTGTCAGTATGGTCTGAGCGAAGTTGAAATTTTTTGAAATCATACTTCACATTAAAATCATTCACTTTTTTCAACATGAAGTTAAGTGAATAATTGGGAAATTCATGACAAGGATGTGGTCCTGTAAGAGAGCAAGTGGTGCAATTTGGCTTATATTTATGTACTTAGCCGTTGGGTTCAGTGTATATATATACTTTGATACTCCCAAAACTTGCTCCATCGAAATACCGATTTTAGACAATAGGTTTCTTTAGACCAAATCTGTTTCCTGACTTTTGGAATCGATCCAGGGATGTCCGTCGGTCCTTCCATCTGTCTTACTGGCTGGCTGGAGCGAACGTTTATTTTCGTTGGTCGAGTTCGGGCAATATTGGTTCACTCCGATTTTGATTTAAATTTTACAAATCCTAATAATTGCATCAGTATTTCCACAAAGGTTCAATATCTTGAATAACCATGAAGCTCATAAAACTCGATATTCCCTAACAATTCTATTAACACAAGATCTGGTGTGAAGATGGTAGATATCGGCGCACTCCTTCTGATACTGCCCCACAACGGGTCAAAATTTTGAATAATTATATCTCTCATAAAATTCGAAGTAAGCATCTGATTTATTCTAAACTTCACACATTCCAACATTTTTACACAAGCATGATCTGGGCAAAGATGATAGATATCGGTCCATCCCTTTTGGTGCCACCCCACAATGGATCACAATTTCCAATACATATATCTCCTTAACATGCGAAAGGAGTCAAAAATTGTTTTCAAACTTTGTATGTCTTTATATATATTTTTTTATACCAGAGGTCTACCATCTTTAATTACAGGTTTGCCCATATTCGACGGACTCATCTGGCAACGCCATAACTTTTGACAGAGATGTCACATCGCTTAATGACATACCGCGTTTGAAGCATCAGTCCAAGCAAATTTTTACCATGAACCAATACACGCCACGCGAGCGCTCTGAAATAGTTGAAATTTACATTCAACAGAAGAAGTCAATTGTGAAAACTCAACGTGCTTTTAAAACATTAAAAAATGTGAGAAGTGCGCCTTCTAAGAACACCATTAAGCTGGAATACTTCGGTCCCCTCTATGTGGAACATTACGCACATTTCAAAAAATTTCCAAAAAATATCATATATCTCCTATAAAGGGGATAAGTAATATGTCCAAATCTGTATCCTTGTTATATTTTTATTTCAGGCCCTCTTTTTCAAACCTCCCCCATAAAGGGTCAACAGTTTAAAATACCATAACGCAAGAACATACAGCTTGATCCATTTTCTAGTTTTAACTTTTTTTGGTTAATTATATTTCTTTTTTATTTACTTACAATATTATATCCAATAACATACCCAACATACCAAATTGACTTGAGAATAATATTTTAATAAGCTTACAAACATAAGCCTAAAGCTTGAGAAAATCTTGAGAATGTATTGAGAAATGTTTATTTAACAATTATAGAATAATCGAAAAGGAACCCTTATTCATAAGCTTATTCTTGTAATTGCAGAATAAGCTTACGAAAGTAATATTTTATAAAGCTTATTTTTTCAATGGTAAAAAATATTTATTTATTCATTTTTTAATTATTTTACACATTTCATTCATTGATTGCCATCCCAGCGGTCACTGCATCCTGTTGCCTTGATACCTAGATGCTTTCTTTCCCCTTATTTGAGCTTCTGTATCTCCTCCACTTATTCTTCACTTCTGTTGAATTCCTGCAACTTTTTGACGCCTCCATTCTGAAATGAGATTGAAATAATTTATACTACAGATTCCCAGATTTATTATTCATCATTACCTTAGAGTTTCGTCCGGAAATGGGTCCTAAATTCGCGTGATTTTGATTTTAACCAAAGAAAATAATTTTTTTTTGACAATTTTCACAAAAAAAATCAAAACAAATTTGTCAACAAAGGACAGATTTGAGAAAAGTTTGTGCAAAAAAGTGTTTCTCAAGCATTGTTGAAAAATTCTTATGATAAACTATTTTCATAATATTATTCTCAAGCTGTATTGTATTTTTGGTATGTTGGGTATTGAGTGCTTACCTGGAAGAAAAAAGAAAATTAATTTTAGAAAATTATTATACGTACATGATAATTTATTATTAGCATTTTTCTCGAGTGTAGTGTACTAAAGTATTAGTTTAAATTAGACATTTACAATAAATCTTAATTAGTTGAACAGGTTAAATAGAGAACAAATGATTTGCATATTCGAAATAAATAAAGTGACTATTTATAACACGTAAAGGGTTACAAATTAGGGTTTATACAAAAAAATCTGTTAAAGATTTTGAAATATTTTCTAATAAGTTCTTAGTTGATACAAACTTAAAAATCTTAAAAAAGCTTGATAGAATTTTATGAAAACATTTATGAGGCTGGATTCATGCCAGATGAAATTTGAAATGAAAAATATTTTTAATAAATATTTCATTTGACCTTTGTCCAATCTTCAAAAGTTTTCATAAATACATTTCCATTCAAACTGTCAGTTTTGATTTTCATTGGAGCTGAAATCATGGCCAGATTTCATATGTTTGTGTGTTTTTATGATATTCCTTCATGAATTACACACATACAATGTTGTCATTTTAATAATTCAAAGTTCATATTCCGTAGCCCTTTAGCATCGGCCAGACAAGAGGGCGTTCATGCAACAGATCGCCACCACTAACAGATAAGAAATCAAATTGGAAAAAATTACCAGCATTCAAAGTTCAATTCAGTATCAATTGAACATTTGAAGCAAGCAGAACAAATTGGAACCGGTTAAGGCCAAAGCAATTACTTACAATATGAAATCGAGAACATTTGTGGCGTTGCTACTTTGTAATATATTGGTAAATAGTTCAAACATAAAATTATAAAACAATTAAAAACCTCTGGTTATTTTCACAGATTTTGGTCACCGGCCAGAATACCATATCGGATAATTTCTATGACAAATCAGAGAAATGTTTCGACCAACTGCATGTGCCACAACGTTACAAGGCCACCTTTCAGGCTTTCCGTTATCCCGATGAGGAAATTGTCCACAAGTATGTTCATTGTCTGGCCATGAAACTGGAAATTTGGACAAATCGTTCTGGTTTCAATATTGAAAAGATCTACAATCAATATCGTAATCGTGTCAATGATGAGATAATGTTGCCCACCATCAGCAATTGCAATCGTTCGGCACAGAATAGCAACAAGGAGCTGTGGTGTTATCGTGCCTTCTTGTGTATCCTTAACACGGATGTGGGCAAATGGTTCAAGGAGGATGTTCAACGTTCGCGTCAGGCTAATAATGTACCCAATGGTCATCATTAGAGAGAGTTTGAAAAAAATGATTTCCTTTGATTATATTAATAAATATTTTGATGAAATACAAAAAAATGTTTTTAATTTTTTTACTTAAAAAATTGTGAAAGACTATCAGAGCTAATGTCGTGGATATATGTATAAGGACTATTGAAAATATTATTTTCAAATGAGAGATTAATAGTAAATTTGTAAATAATATGCATTGTGTGCTATTAGGCCATGAAAAAAAGGATTGACAAAAATATTTTTCAGGAGAACACCAAACGTTGATTTCTTAAGATCAACAAAAATATATATTTCAAAATAATATTTTTAAAAGAACTGTCGAACCTTCAACCGTTTATTTTTTAAGAAAATTGTGTATAGGCCTTTCACAGCATCAATGGGAGATTTATTGAAAAATATTTTCTGACGAAGAACCTTTGAGTTCCTAGGGAACATTTTGATCGAAGTCGATAGTTCTGTGTTGGCTTGTTTGTTCGGGATACTATAGTATTTTGTTGTTGCAAAATGGTCAGCCTTAATCCCTTTATTGTTGTTTTTATAATAACAACGTTTGTTTATTAGTGGAGAACGATGGTAATGTTTACCGGGGGTAAGGCAGGGAATAAATAGGTTTCGGAAAGAGCCACCAATCCTCATTAGACCCCTTGTATTTTGTCTGGGATATTCTCCCCAGAATTTATTTTAAAAATAACTTCTATGACAAAAAGCATTTTTTACCCAAGTGACGAGATCGAAAGCTCAGTAGAAGAGGAACCAAAGAATTAAATAAAACTAAAGTTCTTTTGGAAAATCTTCTAAATCTTACAACCGCACTTATAAACATTTACATCTTTCTCCACTTGTTATGCTGTCGTTCTACCTGTACGAAGTAGCATAACCATGTGAAAAGAAAGCAAAATATTGTACATATAAATGTTATTAAAACATCAATCGCAATTATTTAAAGAAGAACTAGCAGATCACGTTTCATGGATTTGAAAAGGAACATTTTTAAAGGTCCATAGTTGACTATTTTATTCATCTACTTCACGATAGATATAGTGAAATTCAAACATAGGGTTGGGCGCCATTTGAATTTAAGACATTTATTTTAAAGTTAACCATATTTTTAAAGGATTTTATATTACACATTTTTACATTACACATGTTTATATATAAGGCTTCTTTTTTATTATTTTATATATTTGTTATAAGAAACATTTTTGATTGATTTTTTTTTTAATTAATTCAAATTTTTAAGAATATTTTTTAAGGACTTTCCCGGCAACAATCGGCAATATTAATTACATTTTTAAGAAATATTTCTCTATATCTGAGGGTCCATTAGGAGTTTTGTAACCAACATCAGGTATATATAATTATAGGGTTTTCTACAAAATATTTTAGAAAAATCGTTGACGTTAGAAAAATAGTCGTAAATTAAGAAAAAATTCTAAAGATCTATCAGATTTATAATCGTTGTTTTTAACAGATTTTTTTTTAAATATTATCAGATCTATAATCATAATTTTTAAAAGAATGTGTTCTGAGATACTATCTTAAAAAATCGTTGATTTCTTGAAGAATATTTTTAAGATCTGTCAGAAAAATTGTTATATTTTCTGAAGGCCTGCTAGGGATTCATTAAACAAAAAATTTAATTTTTTTTTTTCAATATTTACAGGGAAAATCCATCAGTTTATGAAAGTACAGCTATAAATAGGAAACATGTGTATTCGCGTATTGAAAGATTACATCGCATAGTAACCAAGTTCCACAGTTTTTTGGGATTATGAATCTTTGGAATCCCTTGATTTTAGGGGTATGGAAATATTCCAAATAGAAAATATTTTAGATAGAAATACCTAAAGGTGGGACAATATGATACATCTTCAATATCAATGATTCGGAATATATTCCAAATCATCAAATTTTAAAGCTGTATCCTTAATATCAAGCAATGTATCTCAAAATATTGTGGTGCAATTTATGGTGGTTAAGGCTAGGTTTTGAAATTTTTCACAATCCAGAATGGCTACTTCTCGAAGTGCAGCACAGTGTAATCTGCCAGCGCGGCTGGTGTGTATTACAAACTCAAAATACCAAGTTTGAGATAATTCTGTTGAAATATGTAGCTGAAATCATCAAAGTGCCGAAAATCTGGAGGTACGGGTGCTATGCGAAGACGTGGAAGTAGGCAATTTCCTGTCATAGGAAGTAATACCTATTGTGAGCTCTAAATTCTAATTTTAGATAATTCTGGTGAAAGTGTAGCTTAAACCTATAGGGAGGTACCGTTATATGGGGGTAATACGAAGACGTGGACCTGTATAACAAATTTTCTGTATGTTTCTTAGGTAGTATCCCTTACAAACTTCAAATGCCAAATTTGACATAATTCCGGTGAAAAAATATCGAAATACCGAATATCGGAGGTACATCTATATGCGTACTATGCCTTAACTTGGATCTATATGGACAGATCTTCGCAAAAATATTTCCTACATATAAGGGAAAATAAACTGCCAAATTAATGAAAATCCTGTTCTAAAATATGACTAACTTTTAGCCTAAACATCTTAAATCGAGCTTATGTCAAAATGTGAACCATCATGGCCCATTTTTAATACTTAAAATTGTACGGACCTGAAAAATATATCTCAACGAAATGTTATCAACCTACTTCATTTCGTTGGGAAGCCAGATTGATTTCAACAGATATACAGGCAGGTAAGCGGACGGAGATGGCTAAATCGACAAAGAATTTAATGCTGATTGAGTATATATTTACTTTATGGGGTCTTCAAAGCTTATTTCGAGGAGTTGCGAATGGAATGACAAACTTAATGTACCCTTCATACAATACATGGTGGAGGGTATAAATGGAGAAAAATAAATCTAGTCTTCCACTTCTTCCATGCCAAACAATAACAAATATCGTAACAATCATGTAGCTCATAGAAAGCGGAGTGGGTATCTTATGGGGTCTAAACCTCATAAATCAGAATAATTGTCTCCCGGTTTCATAATTTGCGGAAATGGGCAGCATCTGGCAACTCTTCCTCGTAACTCCACCAAAGGTCAAAATTTCGCCAAAAAAAATTAAAAGTCGGGCGGGGTCGACTATATGATACCCAACACCACTATGTATTTTTAGTAGAGCTCCCGTAAAAAAAGAATTTACATTGAGAATTCTTTAACCTTCAGTTATAATTTGGTTTCAGAGTGAACTAATATGTGATAGGCACATCCAATTCCGAATCAATTTTCACCAAATTTGATGGATACATTTTTACCTTTCATACCAAATAACATGACTATAGAGTGCATGATATCACTTCGAGATAGATTACAGTAAAAAATATTTATATTTCATAGCCGAGTTCCACCAAATGGAAACATACGTCCCAAAATGCACTCCATTTGGGCTGACATTAGCCATTAGATGCGCAAATAAACCTGAAATCGGGTAAAGATATATATGAGAACTATATCCAAATCTGAACTGATCTCGATAAAATTTCTGAGTTCTATAAGACATCTGGTACCGAATATCGTTGCTGTGGAGTGCATCTTATGAAAGTGAGGGATCTAAACATAAAGTCGGATGAAATGTAAATATGGAAACTGTAGCTATATCTGAACAGATTTCCACCAAAGTTTATGTACTTGCTTCCGGACTGAATTCAGTCGGATGTGCCCAAATGTAGGTAATTTGGACTGATATTGGCCATTTGGTGCACAATTAACAGATTCGATCGATTGAATATATATACCGGAGTTATTTCTAAATTTTGAACCGATTCTCACCAATTTCAATAGGGTTTGTCCTTGGGCCAATCAAATAGTATTTGGATTTTGTCCACAAAAATATATGGACAGACGGACGGAGAGGCAAACTCAGAAAGTGGTTCTAAGAAGATCTTCAAAAGTAACTGTGGGTCTATCACGCTTCCTTTAAATGCACAAAGACATAACACCCTTACCACTTTGTGGTGTAGAGTATAAAAATCTTTGCAACTATTCATATTTCAGCTATTGTTATAAGGGCACAAATCATCTAATATCCTCCCGACAATCGTTGAAAATCGCAAAAATATGGAAAAGACTGTCTTACGGACTGAAACTTTTCAACTAGCCAAAAAGGGGTACTTTCGTTTTAATATGATTATTATTAGTCATATAAATACTCTATGTATCGGATACGACGGGAAAAATTGAGTCCACAAATGGGCTATTCTGAATCGCTGTGGCTCAGACCCCTCTTGACTTACTCCTTAGATCCTTTTTTATTTGAAACCCACACGATTTTCCATTTTTGTAATTGAATATAACATTTTGTTTCGTAAGACTTGATTCTTTTATGTTCCTATGAGGGACTGTGGGTACTAATATTCGACAATCATCCTTCACACAAGAGAATCTATCTATTGTTAGCTTTCTTAAACAGCTTAGTTACGCCTCCCTCCCCACAAATTTCATCAAGGCTATTTTTGCACCCCTCCGAAAGATGATAATGATGATACTTCCTATGAACCTTACTTAAACGTAGACAATTATATTTAAAATTCTGCAATTTTTTTTAAAGAGGGAGGTTATGGTGTTAAACATTTGAGGTTACAAAATTTACATATGCTACATTGGCAAAATTACGAGCTGAAGCAAGGAAACAAATGCTGCAAAACATAAAAGCCGTCAAAGCAAGGTATTTGTGTCGCAATATTTCCGTCCCTTTTTTTGGAAAAATCCTAATTTTTATTAGGCAGTTTGCGTATGTGTGTGTAGAAGTTAAAAACGGAAGCAAGGTGAGATTTTTCCATGTACCCCAAACAAATAAGGAAAGAACAAGCGACAAATACTCCTCCCCCTCCTCAACAACGACACCACATAATAAATGACACAAAACTGAATATGAAATTTCGCCAAAAAGAAATTCATGGCAGCTTCTTTGGCAAGGTAGCCAGCCAACCAGTCAGCCTGTGATATGTTAATGATGACATTCACGCGAAACGCCACAGTGACAGCGTTCTTTCTATGCTTCTTCTGCTTTACGTTAAATTTGCTTT